TTGATTGCTTCTGTGGATAGGTGTCTTTTATACAGGTAACGAGCTGAGATTAGGAGCACTCCTTTTAAGTGAATGCTCCTAACCTCAGCTTGTTACCTGTATAAAAAAAGACACCTGGGAGCCAGAAATCTTGCTGATTGATAGGGGATCAAATACTTATTACACTCATTGACATGCAAATCAATTTATAACTTTTCTGAAATGTGTTTTTCTGGAATTTTTTTTTTTTTTTTGTTATTCTGTCTCTCACTGTTAAAATACAACTACCATTAAAATTATAGACTGATCATTTCTTTGTCAGTGGACAAATGTTCAAAATCAGCAGGGGTTCAAATACTTTTTTCCCCTCACTGTAGACAATATTTTATCCTTTATCTTTTGCCCGCTTTTATTTACAGGCCTACTCGTACGTTTGTTTCAGCACACCACAACCGACTTATCACCACTGTCAATTGATACATACTACTATAATGTTTCCGACCACAAGTTTTAAGGCAAAAAGCCTGTATCTCTGGGAGGAGTTTGTTCTATAAAAACCCTTTCCCCCTCTTACCTGGGCTGTTCCATTTCAGGTCATCCCACCAACCTCACCACTTAACTAATGCATTTATTACACTCTTCTCCTTGGTGGGCCCTCTTATTTACAGGCCTACCCATATGTTGGTTTCAGCACACCACAACAATAATGGAGGAGTATCTCCAAATATAGGAGACATAAGTGAGAATGGAGGATAAAAGGCAAGATAAGGAGTATCAGAGTAAAGAGTAAGAAAGATTCTGGTTGGTGTGGTGAGGTGGTTTAGCAGGAAGACAAAATTGTGCTACCGGAGGTGGGGGGGGGGAACCTGACTCGCAAGCTAGCCAGACGCGTTTTCTGGGAGATCCTGCAATCACAAACTTTATAGCAACCAAGGCCGTACAAAAATAGCGGTAGAATGCTCCACAACCAGCAACAGACACCTCTACCAACAGGGACACAGAGCTTTCTGAAATACATGTTTTTGCCATTTTATTCTGCCTTCTAGTCCTGCCGAGATTGCGAAACAGACTCCCACTTGGGACCACACATTCTGCAGTGCATTCACAGAAACCACGTTAAACTCCCCCCCCCCACCCCTTTGGACCGGTGGGGGTTATCCTGGTCCCCACTGACCACACTAACTACCTAAATTGCCTGGAATCTGCTGTGCCTAAAACCACGTGGAGAGCCTGGACTGGGTGCATCACTTCGAGGCCAGATTCGACAAGGTGTGCAGAGATTTCGGGATCTGCATAGCCGAGCACTCTCATACCCCTATCTCACCTGTCCAAACCCACCACAGAACATAGGGTTCTGTCACAGCAACATCGTTTCACGCATACCCGCAGCGAGAAATGTTGGGCAAGACCCTAACACAGTGCCGATGGTGGGAACACGTACGTGGGTGCCTCATAACAGCATCGCCGCTGACAGTCTGGTCATCCTGTGAGCTACTATCTGCCTGGGCCATGGACCTGCATGAGAAGTTTCCATATACTCCGTTCCCACCTGGAGATGGCATTTACCCGTCGTGACATGAAGATGTCTGGCTGCAGACTCCAGAATCAAGCCATGTATGCGGCTTGATGAGAGATGTGTAAGGTGCCTAAGCTGGACTGTTTTTCGGCCCAGGGCTGGTGGGGTGTAGTTAAGTAAGCCACCTGTGAACACTCTTCCTGTCGGGCATAGGCTGAACTAGCAATTAACAAACTGCAACTTGTCAGATATTGTGATGCAGGCTATCTACACTTTACCGTTACCGGTTATTCTCTTACCCAGTGATATTTGATTCACACTATATAGAGCTATGTGTATCAATGTTAAAATAATTCATATTGCAGAGGTTTTCTCTTGTTATAGCCTACTTAGCACACGTCTGGATACACTCATAGTTGTAATTTGCATCTTGAGCACACACATTGTCTATTATCTCATGTCCACACTCATGCTCAATCTCTCTATAGCTATAGTCCCATAGTGTCTAATATTGCTACTGCTCTGCTGCAGTATTACTAATCATTGTCACTTTAGGCATAGCTTGTTTCTTTAATTGTGTATTAATTCATAAAAATGCTATTGTATACCATATGACTGCTTCTTTGTCTATTAAAAAGCCTGCACCAGCTGTTGTGGCACTGTAAGCATACCTGCTTAATCTATGCACAACTAAAATAAAGAATAAAAAAAAAAAAAAGTGCTACAGTGAGTTACTATGCTGCCATGTCGTTTTATGAAACATTGACGAGACAGAGGGCGGCCTTTTATTCCCAATCCGGCCCTGATACGCTATGTAAATAATTGAGGTTGTACTAAAGCTCGCATGTGAAACCGCTTTGTCAGGTGGTAGTCAATGTGCATTTACTTCCATGACATTTTGATGATGCAATCAATATTACTTGGTACATGTATAATTCAGCTATTAGTCAGTACAAAAAGGTCACTTACGTAAGTACGTAGGTGTCTGGCACACACCAAGCCAATAGCCCCATTCTGGTCTGGTCCACACACCACCAAGATTGTGGGCTGCTTTTTAGGTAGAACTCTCAAAGGGAATGCCTGGTAAGTAAAAGAAAGGAGGGCAAAAAGTCAATATATTAAATAAGCGAATTAAGTCATGTGAATAGTAATGTCCATTTTATAGTGATTAAAATCTTCACACAAAAAAAAACACCTTATAAAAACTCAAAATGACAAGGAGCAAAGCTTTTATTGAAAAGGATTAAGTGGCACAGCAAATAACTATTTACAAATAAACTAAAACAATAGAATAATTAAACCTTTATGTAAAAAAACTTTTAAACTATATAATATCAAAACATAATCTGCCCTAACAGTCCGATTGTTATCAGGCCTCTATTTAACCTTCAATTGTCCCCAAGGTATGTGCAGCAACTAATTGCTGCAATCAGCCTTGTTCACCATAGTCATGTCCTGTTCTACAAGCTACAGAACAGGGAATTTAATTAAAGGGATACTATAGTCACCAAAACAACTTTAGCTTAATGGAGCAGTGTTGCCCCTGCAGTCTCACTGCTCAATCATCTGCCATTTAGAAGTTTGATCACTTTGTTTATGTAGTCCTAGTCACACCTCCCTGAATGTGACGTACACAGCATTCCTAAACACTTCCTGTAAATAGTCATCTAATGTGTATACTTCCTTTATTGCAAATTCAGTTTAATTTGGAATTTCTTATCTTCTGCTCTGGTAATAGCTTGCTAGACCTTGCAGGAGCCCTCTGTATGTAATTAAAGGTCAATTTACAGAGCAAGAGAAAGATTCATAAAGCAAGTTACATCTGATTAAAAATGAAAAAAAAATTGTTTTCATACAGGCTGTGTGGCTAGGGCTGCATAAACAGAAACAAAAGTGATTTAACTAATAAATGGCACTAAATTAAGCAGTGAACTTCAGAGGCATGATCTATACACAAAAACTGCTTTGTTACGTTTAAGTTGTTTTGGTGACTATAGTGTCCCTTAACCTCTTAAGGATGGGCATTCTATGCCGTCCTTGGGGACCCGGCTCTAAATGCCGGCAGGCGGCATACAACGCCCAAGCCGTCCTATGTACTTACCCGTTCACCGGCGATCCCACGTCGGCGATCACGGTGTGGGGACTCACCTGGCAGTCCAGGGAGTCCCCCTCCTTCCTTTCCGTCCCCCCGGGCCGTGTGTTTTTTCACATTGAAATTCACCAGGTCGGTTATGTTGCTTTTGAGACCGTATGGTAGCCCAGGAATGAGAATTACCCTCATGATGGCATACCATTTGCAATAGTAGACAACCCAAGGTATTGCAAATGGGGTATGTCCAGTCTTTTTTAGTAGCCACTTAGTCACAAACACTGGCCAAAATTGTCGTTCAAATTAGTTTTTTGCATTTTTCACACACAAACAAATATTAACACTAACTTTGGCCAGTGTTTGTGACCAAGTGGCTACTAAAAAAGACTGGACATACCCCATTTGCAATACCTTGGGTTGTCTACTTTTGCAAATGGTATGCAATCGTGGGGGTAATTCTCATTCCTGCCCTACCATACGGTTACAAAGGCTACGTAACCAATCTGGCGAATTTCAATGTGAAAAAACTGAAAAATGTAAAATGCTATATTTGACCCTGTAACTTCCCAAAACACCATAAAACCTGTACATAGGGGGTACTGTTTTACACATGAGACATAGCTGAATACAAATATGTTTATTTTATTGCAGTAAAAGCAAACAGTATTATGACATTCACAGTTAAAATGTCACGTAGAACTAAACAAATTTAAAAAAAATCTTATTTTCTCCCATTTTTTTTATATTTTATTCATATTAAATTATGTTTCATACCTAAATATTTGATGTTAAATGAAAACCCTGTTTCCCCTGAATAAAATGATATATAATAAGTGTGGGTGCACATAATAAGAAAGAGGCGAATTACGCCTGAACAGACCTATAGCGCAAAGTTTTTGTTTACATTTTGTTTTGATCACAACATATACATTTGGCTCAGTCCTTAAGGGGTTAATATATCATTACTGTATCTGACAGATGAGTACCATTACAATAATATAGCCATTCACAACCACCTGCCAAATCTAAAACTATAACCTTGGAGACGTATTCAGACTCATTTACTACACCAGATCAACCTTGGCGCAGTTTCAGAACACAGGCACATTGGTAAATATTTGTTTCTGTTAAATAAATTCCTTGAACAAAATTATCAGTTGTAATAATTATAAAGATAGGTTTACTCTTCTCCCTGACCTTTCACTGCTTGCAATATACTTTAATCTATACAAATCTGTATTCATAACGTTACAGCGTTCCTCTCCTTGGCTCTAAATAGGGATCGTCGCCTCTGTCACAAAATAAAAAAATAAATAAAGATTTACTTACCTTATTGTAGCGCATAGGCTACCTCGGTGCTGCTGACTAGTGATGTCGCAAACTTGCCGCGAACCGTTCCGTGGCGAACTCCGGTCAGCTGACACATCCCTGCCAATCTCCGGCAGACCCTCCCTCCCAGACCCTCCCACCTCCTGGACAACATCCATGTTGAAGCTGCCTTCAACATGGATGCTGTCCAGGAAGTGGGAGGGTCTGGGAGGGAGGGTCTGCCGGAGATTGGCAGGGATGTGTCAGCTGACCGGAGTTCACCCGCAGCGAACCGTTCGCGAACGGTTCGCGACATCACTACTGCTGACCTCTGTTCTCATACTACGTTAACAACACGGAGGAGGCCCTGCTTCTCCCAGTGGGTACAATCCAATACTCCTCCTAATGCAAACATTCAAACTTTCCCATAGGAAAGCATTGAATCAATAACAGGTTCACTAAAAGCATTTTAACTGCTGTCTCACAGCCCTATATCTTCAATAAAAAATGAATACCATAAAATTGGCCTTTTAACGCCTTAGTAATGCTATAATGTATTTGCTCCCGAATTATTATTATGATATTTATAGAGCGCCGTCAAATTCCACAGCACTTTACAATGGGTGGACGAACAGACATGTAGTTGTAACCAGACAAGTTGGACACACAGGAACAGAGGGGTTGAATGTTCAATGAGCTTACATGCTAGAGGGAGTGGGGTAAAATGACACACAAAAAGGTAAGGATAGTATTAGACTAGTGACAGTTGAAGAGGAATCAGTCAGGAGCTATTAACAGTTTAATTGATACTAATGAAGCAGATAGCCTGGTTTAAAGGGACACTATAGTCACCAAAACAACTTTAGCTCAATTAAGCAGTTTTGGTGTATAGATCATGCGCCTGCAGGCTCAATGCTCAGTTTTCTTCTGTGGAGGAGCTAAATTACTTGCAAAGGCTTCCTAGCACTTCCTGTAAAGAGTTAGGAGTCGGAAAGTAGATTGTGGAATGCCAGGGATAATCCAGGTACTCCAGAAACTAACCAAGCCACCAGTCGTAGAGGACCCTGATCCACCAGCTTGTGTGCCTTCCCATCTGGGTCTGTCAGGAGCACGGGAAATCCAGAGACATCTCCAAAAGGCAATAATAATAAGGTCACGAGGAGTTATATAGAGGCAGCACAGGAAAGTTACATTTTTTATTGTGCTAGATATAGACTCTTAATTAGCACTATTTACACATATATATTTTCTCTCCGAGTTCGTTTGGAAGCACAGGAACAGTGAATACTATACACTGTTAAATGCAACTTTCCTGTGCTGCCTCTATATAACTCCTTGTGACCTTATTATTGTTATATACAGTTATTTTGTAACTCTGTATCTTTGGAATACAACTCACTCTGTATATTTAATTTTGTTGTAAAAACCGTTGGTTTTTGCACAGTATTAGGAGAAGTATCCTGAAAACTTCTGAACAGGACTTCTTTTTTGACTCAAAGGTATATTTAGCGTGAGTTGTTTTTTCCTTACAAGATTTTAACCCTTAGGGGTCATTGTTTATTGAATATTTTGTTTATTTTTTTCTCAATTTATAGCATATAATATTTTAAACTATACTATTAAAAGCTATATTTTAACTTAGGGGCACTCCTTGTCTCCTTCCTCTTGATTTCACTACTGTGGTAGTTTCTAAAGGGTCAACCCCTATTTGAGTGTATCCCCTTGCTTCCATTTTCTCTAATTAATTCTTAACTCTGTTTATTTGCAACATTAAAATACCCCTAACCCCAAAAGGAACCTTTACATAGACAAATGGTGATACTTGTTTCCAAGAGATCCCAAGTGAGCAGGTATAAAGAAGTGAGTATGATGTTACAGTCCGTCTGATTGATATTCTCGGCTAGGTTAAAGTCTCTCCACCGTGAAATTCACTTGTATTGCTGGAGAGACGCCAAGTGTCCAGGACGGTGCCTTCAATCCCCCTGTGTCTGCTCCAAGAGCCGTTAGCACTTCGACGCGTTTCGCCCCGTTATCCCGGGCTTTCTCAAGATGCGTGGCCACACACCACGGTCTTTTAAACATTTGCAGCAATGCTGTCCCAGGCACACTGCCAGACTAGTTGGAACTGGTTTGGGCTGGAAAGTTTGGGCTGGAAAGCCATGCTTAAGTGGTTCTAAAGGGACCTCCACCTAACCTTTTAACCTCTGAACCGATTGACCTAATTTTTGAGTATGTTTATATTTCAAGTATGCTGATTCTGAAATGTATGTTTTAGGAAGATTGGATGTATATTTTTAAAGTTACAGCATGTTTTCTGCCTGTGATAACTAAGTTAGTCTATTGTGTTAAGATAATTGTATCACAGGCAGAGGGGAGGAGATGTGTGGGAGGTAACATGTATCTGATTGGTGACTGTACTAAGTATTGTGGGTGTCTCCCTTGCAGTGGAAGAGAGGCATAAAAGCAGGGGTTGTGGAATAAAAGTTATAGTTCTGCTCCTGAAACTGCGTGTCGTCCAGTTATTGGGAAACGTGATGGGATATTATTGTATTGTATTGCTGATTGTGCTTGCTATGCTGTTGGATTATTCTATTACTGTGAATGTTTCTCCTGGGGTTACTACTTGTTCCTGAGCCACACCTGGACTACCAGCGGAAATAGTCTGTGAGAGACCAGCGTTCCACTACAATTATAAATAGTGAGTGAAGTGCTATAGAAAAACTTTGTTAGAAACGGCTTAGTTTCTATAGTTTTCTTTATAAGAATATCTGATATTGAGTTGAACCTAGGTGATTAATATAGCTCATAGCCGATACATTGTCCATCTTGAGCAGTATGCAGCATTTTGCCTGGTTGGGCCGTGGCTGCGGATGGCAAAGGACCCTACTAGCAGCTCCGTTGATGTTCAGTGACGATTCCTCCATTGACCATCTGCCTCCAGTAGAGATATTGCCGCAGCGTGCACCCCAACCGTGTAAGCTGGCATCCGACTCGATAACCATGTCTGGTGTAGTCTTGAAGATTGCCCGGCCATTCCATGCATCCATGTGGGCAAGCCACCATTCCAATTCCTCCTGAGCTTCAGAATCTAGAGTGAGATTCAACTCGTAAGAGTGGTCTAGCCTCAGGAAAGAACCTTTGATCCTCTGGAGGCGAGTAACCCTATCATCCTCGCTAGTTGTGGTACCGACAGATTCCGAGCTCGAAGGGTACGTTTGATCTCTTTCCTCATGGTTTTGAGCTTGGTGTCTGGCAGATAGAGGAACTGGGCGACAGAATCCACGTCGAATCCCAGAAACTCTGTCGTCTGAGTTGGGTGTAGAATAGATTTTTCCCAGTTGATGAGAAAACCCAGGTCTTGTAAAAGCCGTATTGTCCATCGCAGATGTGTATGGAGACGTTCTGGTGAGTGCGACATGATGAGGATGTCATCCAGATAAATGATCAGACATACGCCTCGCTTTCGTAGGGATCCACCACTGGTTTCATCAATTTGGTGAATCACCATGGAGCAGAATACAGTCCGAATGGAAGACAGGTGAACCTCCATCTCCTTCCACGCCATGTGAAGTGGAGCAAGTCCCTGTACTCCACTGCTACGGGTATCAACAAGTAAGCATCCTTCAAGTCCAATTCGGCCATCCAATCAGAGGGCAGAAGGAGATCTCTTAGACAGTGGATGCCCTCCATTTTGAAATGCTGGTACCCGATGAACGTATTCAGGGTCCGTAAGTTGATAACCGGTCTGACGCCTCCGCCTTTCTTGGGAACCAAGAATAGATTGCTTGTAAATCCTTGAGAGTGGTATAGAACTTCTTGGATTGCATTTTTTGCTTACAATTCTGCCACCTCAGAAGAGATCAGATCCTCCTGATCCTTGGACAGCCAGGCTTTGGAAGGCTGGTGAACCTGAAATGGGGAAGAAAGCAGGTCGAGTTGGAAACACCCTGACCGTCTGCCGTACCCAAGCATCTGAAGACAGCAAGTCCCAAGTCTGAGTAAACAGAGCTAATCTGTCCCCGACCCCTGTGGGGAAAGAATGTGGAAGTATGGTGCTCACTGTATGGTCTGCGACTTGAGGTATATCCTCGGGGGCCACGGGATGACCAGAATCTTCCGCATGACGGGAAGAAGGGTGACTGCATCAGGCACCAAGGGGCTTGGGCATTCCGTCCATTTTGTGGTAGTGATCTGGCAGAGAAGCTGTACAAAACACTGTGGATGAAGAATAATACCCACCCTAACAGAGTAATTACTAAACCATTATATGGGGTAGCCCTGATACCCAATATCAGTAAAGGGTTGAGTATCCCTGAGCTAAATAGCTTAATAGCTGAAACAGAAATTTATACCAATAGGGGGTGCACCTGAAAACAGAGGTAGCCACCGTCGTGGGATACTCACAGGAGCTGAAGTCAGGCCACTAGTGATTAATCCACTTCTCCGCGCGCTTTCTGACAGAAGGTGCGCCGAAACTGCAGGCTCAGCCTCCCACAATGGCTGCCGGGTGAGTCCCACACAGCAATTAGCCGACTGCCATGTAAATGTGGGAGCAACCAGACGGCAAAACAAAAACAAAAACGCACTAGCTTCCCGGCGGGGAGAACAAAACGCTGTCTCCACCGGGGAGCCCAGCAAGCCGCTAAGTGGGTAGAGACCTCGCACAGCGAGCAGGACGGGAGGGGGGGGAGGCACTGAGAAGAGACAGGCAGAGCCGACTCCCAGGGAGGGAGATCCGCGGCTCAATCTGCCCAATACCGCATGGAGAGGTGCACCCAGTCACACAAGGATAAAATAAACTTTTATAGTACAAGCCAGTAGGACACAAAATAACAGCCCTACACAGTTAGATAAAATTCACAAAATACTTAGCTGGTCTGAGGGAGCAGCAAGAAAGAGGAAGTTCACTGATTGGACCGTTACTGTTATAGTATATGTGCTATTGATTGGCTGCGATGTCACTAGGCAGTATATTGTATTATACGTTTTAAGTTAAAGTTTTTTTCTCTCATTCTTGCTGCTGAGGGAAATAAATGGAAAGAGAATGCATAATATGAACCTCCGTGTCATTAATACAATTAAAATTTCTTATCTCCTGCTCTGTTTATAGCTTGCTAGACCCTGCAGGACATTCCCGTATGTAATTAAAATTCAATTTACAGAGCAGGAGATAAAAATTCTAAAGAAAGTTGCCTCTGATGTTTTCTTGCAAACTGTGTCAGTCACAGCTATTGGAGATGTAGGTAGGGCTGCATAAACAGAAAGAAA